TTTTACAACGTCGTTGCCAAGCGACGAAAAGCCAACCCCGATGGCAAGCACCGAGGGGGACGGGGGGGCGGCTTGATTTACAACGTCGTTGCCAAGCGACGAAAACCCAATACCGATGGCAAACACCGGGGGGGGGCGGCTTGTTTTACAGCGTCGTTGCCAAGCGACGAAATCCCAACGCCGATGGCAAACACCGGCGGGGGGGGTTGTGAAAATTCTGCGAACCCAAGACGATGATCCAAGGTAAAATGGGACGATGTCGGTGAAACAATTGGACTACTTACTAGTCTACATGTAATCAGGCCTGATCAATGTCACTCCTTCCGTCCATGAAATTCGCAGCAGATTCGCGGCATTGGGGAAAACCCCTACACCAACTGTGACAAGCGAGCCAAATACCATCTATCTGTCAACCCGCCTTGAGCTCACGCCCAATCGCCTTTCCCCCAGACCCACGCACCGTCTGAAGCAGTTCCCGATCCGCACGCTCTTGCTGACGTTACTCCGCTTCAGTGTTTCCGTCGATGATGCCCTCCGGCGCACTCCGCGAACGACAAATGGCTTTCCTCTCCCCGCCCTCATTCCACGCTTTGCTCGTGGAAACTGAGGGTTGCGCGCTACCTCCAACAACTGCGGCCTGTATCCCCACCTCCCACAGATTTTGCACCCCTGTCCGCCTCTATTGAACATGTGCCCCTCGGAGTATGGATGCCACCTTCCCTGGCCCTCTTCCCCACCCCACCGTCCACCTTCTTTTCTCCCATTTGTTCTCAATTCTCCCATTGTTTCTCCCCTCCACCTGCGCCCTCGTTCTTGGCCGTCGTAACCCTAACCCTCGAAGAAGGCAACATGTTGATCGACGTGTATCTCGGGAACCGCATCTTAGTTTCGCCGAATAACGGCTTGAGCGATAGCTGGTGGGCGTGGGAATACAGCAAAGTTGGTTTTGTGCCCATAGGATACGTTCTCGGAACGTTTCGCGCGGTGCCGTAAATATGCCGTATTTACGACTGTTGGGATCGGCCGAATAACGGCTTATGTGACAGCCTGGGACCTGGGAACACAGCGCAGTTAGTTTCGTGGTTGTCGGAGGTATTTCGCGCGGTGTCGTATATGAGATACCGGCAAGGTGGTGCTGCGACCACATTCTCGGGGCGTATCTCGGGAACCCCGTATTGGTTTTGGCGGAATAACGACTTACGCGACAGCTGGTGGGTGTGGGAACACAGCAAAATTGGTTTTGTGCCCAAAGGATGTGTTCTCTGAAAGTTTCGCGCGGTGCCGTAAATATGGCGTAGTTTCGACACCGGCGAGGTGGCGCTGCGGCCACATTCTCGGGCTTATCTCGGGAAACTCATGTTGGTTTCGGCCAAATATCGGCTTGCACAACAGCTGGTGAGCGTGGGAACACACCGCAATAGAATTCGTGCCTATTGGAGGCGTCTTCGGAAAGTTTCGCGCGGTGTCGAAAATCAACTTTTTTTTTTCCGACACCGCCAAGGTGGTGCCGTGACACCACTTTGGGCCATCTGTCGGCAGCCACCGGTCACTATGGAACGAACGAGGGCTTGCGTGACAGCTAAGAGCCGTAGGAACACAGAGAGTGTAGTTTCGACGCATTTTGGGCGGTGTCGTTAATAATATTTGTGTATTTTAAACAGTAGACTAGTTCGTTTTTCGTTTCGCTTCACGAACCGCAAAACGACGTCTAAAACAAAGGAAAAAAAAAAGCAGTTCGGGACTCGTTGAACCCTTTTTCGCGGCATTGCAGACCGCCTTGTTTTTTTGCACCTCGGCAATCGATTGCGCTATGCCGATGACGACACCCGGAAAGTTTCTCATGGACCAAAACTCAGCTGCGCAGATCAATATTAGAAAATGAGATTGTGGTCGAATCCTTCCGGAATTCGTCACTTTTCCACGCCTATTTCTCATAGACAGTAGCAGCGAACTGGGCCATTCTGATTCAAGATTCACGATCCCCACCCTAAAATTACCCATTACCGAGACGTAAAAATTACCCTTTACTGAGACATAATCCCTCAGAGACGGCTTTTGAGATTTCGAGGGGAGGGGATACTAGCCTTCCATCCCCGATTTTTTGGCGGATTGGGATAGCTGTAACTTAATGTCATCCATGAATTTGGAAACTCTGACGACGGATTCGAACTTCTCCACCCAAGTTTACCCTATCCTGAGATAGTTTTGTTCAATCAGTGGGGGGCCATCCCCGCTTTCTGGCGTTCTGAAAGTTTTCCCTAGAGGAGGCAACAAACGTCGTTGAAACCCGGGTGTACTACTGTAGATAGCAACGATTTTTCCCTCCAAACCTCTACGTGCGGTCGGAAAGAGCACTACGAACACACAAAAAACAGATATCAGACTTTGCTCGGGGATGGTTAATCACCATCCCCCCCCCAAAATAGTTCCATGAAGATTATCTGCGGATGGTGCCGGCAGTGAAACAACACTGGACGCTTTCCCCGAATGTGTTGTTAAACCTCGGTGGGTCACTTCTTCACAACCGACTTCCCAGGTTGTCCTGCAACAGTTTCATGGATCTGCCATATTTTCATGGGTGATCGTGCAGATACGGGAGCATTGTGCTGTCGCCGCGATGTATGGCGCGATAAATTAAAAATATCATTTCGCCGCACGCGAGAACACGAACGAATCGGGCAATCCGTATGCCATCGGCCGGAAATATTCAACTTGAACGGGCCAACGAAAATCGTTTTTCACAACACCTACGGCAAGCTCAAACTCCAAACTAGTTTTTGGCGAGACGATGTAATAACGGCTACAGCAGAACTGATGAGGAGGCATGTAGGGTGAGTGGATGGGAAATTGTCTGACCCTCAGCCCACTATTACTTGTAGTCTTTGTCGGAAAATCTGTTGCCCGAACAAGTACTCTCCTTGACAAATTCGTCCCTTCCTCGTCCCTGTTCTTTTCACTGTATAGAAGCAAATGTTCTGGTCCTTCAGTGCACAGGCTTAGAGTACTCAGGTTTTTCCCATAATAGCAGGTGTTTTTCTCCACTCATTTTGAAACCTTCGGCACATCCCTTCGGCTAGGGTGCAGTATTTTTTTTTTTTGCCTTCCGACAATTGCAGATGTACCTCAGAAAACTTTCACTTAATGTCCAATACGAAGTACAGCAACATATGTAGGACTTATTTCTACTCTGACTTACATCGAAAAAATATCTCCTCTTCAACTTGAAATAAAACCAATGACAATCCTCATGGCATCCTATATGCGTTCGTAAGCTTGCTAAAATACTACTGCGTCGATGTCCTCTTGTAAAAGCTGAAATCCAACAAATGCGTTGATCCATGCTACATCTCCGTGTTGGAAAAGCCCTTTCTTCTCCGTTCATGATAACATCTTACCCTATTCTACGCAAATCTGTCACATCTACTCTCTAACAAGACGCCAACTTCAAACGAAAACGCGTTCTACGATGCATCTACACTCCATCCCCATATCATTGGCGTTGACTGGTTCGAGGTCGATCTTGTTCGCCTGTTTTCGGCGTCTTGACGCCCGCGCAATGCGAGCTTGTACCTTATTGTATCGAACGGGTCTCGTTTGTTCTACTGTCCAAAAATACGTCCGCCACCCATGCTACCAACAACTCGGTGATGTTGATGACTCGTCTCGATGTCCAACACTAGCCTCATGAGCTTCGTCTCGGCAAAACCACTGGCTCCATGCTGCCTGCTTGGAGTCCACTTGCCTTGGACTTATGCAGGAACTCTGCAAGGAGTCCACCTTATTCGCTACTGAGAGCAACAGAGCACAACAACATGTTGCTCGGATGTCCAACCATAGTTCATCATTTATTGGTAGCTGATGGGTTCGACAACAACTACACGTTCCTCAGCCAACTGGAAATAACAAACATGATGACAGTCGGACCCAAGTGGCTTAACCTACAACAGCTTGAACAATTTTACTGGCTACGCACGTTGTCATCAACTTACCTCGCTATTGCGAGACACGTTGTGCACCCTTTCCACTAAGGAGAGTCACCACATGCATGCATGAAAATAATCCATCGACGCTCCATTCATTCTGTACAAACAGGAACGGTAGTGTTATATACGACACCGGTGTCGTACTTCCTTATATACGACACCTACCATTTCTTGGCCCACAGGGCTCTAATCGGCGTACAACAAAATGCGCTGTGTAGCCACGGCCCGCAGCTATCAGCCCATACCATTTTGGGTCGAATCGGCCAAGTGGTTGAAGCGATATCTTAGAAAAAGGAGGCTCAGCAGCATCGCAGGGTTAGGTTCTACCACAAATACGACTGTAACTCCGCC